GAGTAAATCAGTCTCAAAACAAGATCAAAAAGACTTTTTGGCTGATATAAGATTTTAAATCTTGGTTAGATGTACAGTTTTTGCAGTGCAGCCTGGTTCTGCTGTCACTATAAAGCTGCTCCAGATGGAGAATTACAGTGAAGTGAAGATTCAGTCTAATGGCTTCGTTACATAAACTAATTTTTACTAATTGACGTTTCATAATGTACTGTAAGTGAATATATTGTATTCTAATAGGAACTGAATTAACCATAATTGGATTAAAYCTGGATCTAAACTAAATTTATGGTTTGGACTTGTTCATCTTTTGCATAGAGCTCTGAGTTGAATTTTRTTCTGCATCGACCTCATTTAAATAAACTGAACTGAAATAAAATAAAATAGACAATTAAACAATTCATAGTTAAATTTTAAGTTTTAGACTTGAATTTGTTTTAGCCATGATTTAAATCACTGTCACCCAGCTGAAACATTTTATTAACGAAGTATCTTATTAATCAAGACATCTAGAAATTCACTGTTATTTTATTGAAATATTGAATTTGGAAAAAGCTTAACAACTGTGTGATGTGTCGCTTTATATTAGGGGTACCACTTTACAATAAGGCTCCCCACATAGATGGCTTATAAATACTATATAGACAGGTTATTAATTTATCTGTAAACACTTTATACATCATTATTAAATGTTTATTATGCATTAATTAAGGACGAGTAAGACAAAACTTCGGTTTTTGGTCAAATACTGAGCCAAATCTGTTTATGTACATATTACATCTTTATTAAACATTTCACACTATAGGTTACTACCTTGTAAACACAATAATGTATTGGAAACACATATTTTACATATTGCACTGTATTTTATATATCCACAACTATCAAAGCGAACCTTTTTGACATTTATACACATTTATTAATCATTAATAAATAGTGTACCTCCTGTAAATATGTGTTTCCAATACATTATTGTGCTTACAAGTTAACCTAGTGTGAAATGTTTTATATAACACTTCATAATA